TGACGGTTCTTGTTCACGACCCAGTTTCCTTGTTTGACCGAAAGTTTGGCATTTTTTGACAAAGCTATAGCGGTACGGAGAGATTCGCCAGCAGAGAGGGTGCTAACATTATGCAATGTTTGCCGGTAGCCTGCACCTTCTTCGCAAAAAAAAGCAAGCAAGCATCCTTGTCGTATGGAGATGTTTTTGAGCGAGTTAACTGACGACTATCGTCGTCTTGCAATTTTGATTTTCGTCCAGACTCATCAGGACCAACGAACTGCCTCTCATACCTACATACGACAAATAGATCTTTTTTCAAAATGGATGTGAAAAAGTAGGTGTTAATTTGCATGCTGACTGCTATACGAAATATCAAATTGCATTCTTACGTGTTCTTGCGTGATTTGAGTTTAACTGATATCTGTGTTAAAGGAGATTTTTCACAAAACATTGTATACACGAAATTACATTGAATTCACATTTATAAATTACTGCCGTTTTATGCAAGTCAGCGGAATATATTAATAAATAGTACCGCTCTTGTGCTTTTTTCAACATCCCAGTATGACAGCATTTTTGTAGCACGATCGATGCCATGAAACATGATTTTTTTCAAGATCCTGCGATGAAATATTTCTAAGTTTTTCCCAATTTTCAAAATACTCCAAGTTACCATACTTAGCCCACTCTTCAATGAATTTCAAAACTTTTACATACGAGAAGTTGGCTTTTCGACAAGCGTTTCATTCTTTCCTTTTTGACAAATAATACATAAACGAAAATCTATGGTTGCATTATCGATTTCCATAGTTTCACAATTAGACACATTATCCATAAGATTAGAAAACTTAAAATATTTCGCATTCCTTCACTAGATGAACTATAAAACAAAATGGCGGATTCAAAATTACCGATAGAAACCGCTGACCATCAATGACCTGACCATAAATGACCAAAACGGCAACCAATGGTTTACACTTTCATAAGTGAATGTATTTTTCTCAAGCGAATATTAGTTTTAAAGCATGATCATTTCAGTGCAATTCAAAATGAAAAAAATTAAAAATGGTCATATTACTTTGCAGCCTTGATTTCATGCTTTAATGGTCACGTGACCAAGCAAATATTACCTCCGACATTACTTTGTTAATGTTACGAACTTGTAAACGTACAGTATCAGTGAATTTGGAAAACATTTCTTATCATTAACAATCGTTTTAACGCATTTGAAGCACAGCCTCGTTTCCATGTTGATGTATATATACGTCACATTTCAAACTTGCGATACAACCGTCGGTGCAAGATATAGAACTGACGACAACATTTTACTTGTTCCTTAGGATCCCAATAACATACCTAGATAGGTGGTTTGCTTCTTTCACATATTTCCCACGGGACTTCGTTTTGTAACATATGCCACCTGACTAAAAGCAGTTAAGCAGTCGAGCTGGAGTGAGTTGATGAGCATAAGACTTAATCTGTGATGTTAATATAAAACAACTATACGCTCAATATAAAGTATGAAACTTTACAATTGACTCCAATAAGATTAATATTATTGTTATTGTTCTTATTGACTTAACACAGATTATAAATTATTCAATATTCAATCATTCATGAGTTTATTCAGTTATTAGTTATATAAATTCATAATTCCAGTGTAAGATGCCAGATGGAAATCCTACGACTCAATTGTGAATTGTTGATTATTGGCAATGAAGCCAATGAATGCCAATGATTATTAGTCTAAGCCTTCTAGTAACAACTAATATCTCATTTATATTATATTTAGTGTTCATAATTATAAAAATAAAAATTACTTGAATTAAATTACCTGATCTGGTTACCTGGGTGATTTCACTATTCCAGACTCCAGTACCGGTACTGCACAAGACCACTTGCAAAGTCATATACAGGTGCGGCAGTGCACAGTAACATAATTAGGTCATGGAATAGTGGAAGTAATGAAGAATAATTTAATTAAATTATCCCATAAACAATATTCAAATATTGTTAGAAATATTGCTGCAATGCTGAGCAATGTTTCTTTCTTTCGTTCTTTCTTTATTTTCTTTTTTCTTACTTTTTCCTTCTTTCTTTTTTCTTTATTTTCTCTTCCCTTTCTTCCTCTCTTTCTTTCTTTCTTTCTTTTCTCTTCCCATTTTTTCTCTTCTATTCTTTTTCTTTCTTACTCCCCCCTTCCTCCTAAATTTCTGGGACCAATGGTCTCATGGGCCGCTATTTTTTCCACCCCTGCCATTGTTGCTCGCAGTGGTCAGCATCATAGACTAGGGTACTATTTACATGAAAGATCACGTACCAAAAGTGAACCCAGCCATTGTGCGGGTATTGAAATTGAACCGAGACATTGTGCGGGTATATAAAATAATTAACAGCCGCAACTGCTGCTATATTGAAACAAAAAACACTGCTGACTGCTTGCTGACTTGCAGGTACATTACTGACGAATATACTGACAAATAAAAATCTTAAGTAATATCTAAATTAACTCGACTATTGTCTATATAATATAAAATAGACTATATAAATTGCAGTGCTTTGCTTTACTGTAATCGCTGCTGATGTTTTCGAGGCTACCCACATGTACGCTATGCGTACCTCTTGTTATCACGTGTTTTGCCCCCATGCAAAAAATGTATTCTCCCCTATTTATTTTCATACTAACTCTCCTGATGAAGGCCCTCAGGTCGAAACGTCGAGAAGTGTTTTGTCTATTTTGGCAGCTGGTACACCACATTTGATGCTAAGTTGTTTGAAGACGCTGCCACGCTGCTCCTTGGTTATATTGGAACTTATCAACAATAACCATTAGACAATGTTAAACTAAAAAATATAATCATGGTAGTGTAAACTGTTCATCTGAACAATATAATGATGACACAGTGCCAAACTCAATAATATAATCATGACAAAATGTTAAACTCAAGACTAATCCTAACACAATGATAAACTCAAAATATAATCATAACACAATGCCAATTTAACTCAACAATATAAATCATAACACTGTATCAACCTCAACAATCATGAGACAATGTTACTTAATATTATAATCATGGAATGCTGTTAAACTCAACAAGATAATCATGACACAGTGCCAAACTTAACAATATAATCGAAGTAAACTGTTAAACTGAACAATATAATGATGACACAATATGATAAACTCAAAATATAATCATTACACAATGTTAAACCCAACACAATGATAAACTCAAAATATAATCATAGCACAGTGCCAAATCAACTCCCCTGGGCGAGGTTTACCTGTGATCATGATATGATGATACAAATAATACGTCATGTTAGCTGTCATAATGCATAATGCCTAAACACTGGGAGCAATTTTAATAGGACGAAAAATGATTCTTCACGAAAACCGTTTTTGGTTTTGGAGCTCTTACAACTCTTGCAACAACTAATGTGCAATACTGTTGACACAACTGTTGCAGGGCATTATCAAATTTAGTTGCGGTTACCAGTCGAAGGGAAGAAGGCGACAAGACAAGGATTGTCGACAGGACTGAGAAAGGACAGTATTGCTGTCTTAATATCAAATTGCGTGGGTTGATGCCTCACCTTGTTGCCACTGGCAGTTTCATCATTTCACTTTAACAGTTTGAGTACGTCATATATTTCTGATGACACAACGTATGCTTTGCCGTTATCTGCTATCTGCTAAACCAGGGCAGAAGAAGTCACTCTACCTGTAAGTAGATCATCATCTGGTTTCGTGACTGCCAAGATAGGTGTTGTCGCCCTGTGGTCCACTGCTGCTGATTTTCCAGTCCCCGGATAGCCGACGAACATGGTAAAAATATTTGGTATTTGTTCCTGGTTCCCGATTTCAACTGTGGCTTCGTTCTTCGCAAGGATAAATGCGGTTGTTGTTAAAAGAGTTGGCACAAAGTAACCAATTGAGCTTCCAAGCGAAATGGCTTTATTCTTTATAAAATGCTCTATATCAAGACTGAAGAGATTGGTATATTCGTAGACAATACCCAAAAATTTATTTCTCACACACTGCTGGGAGCTGCTGCAGCCATTCCGCCGCAACTGACAACAATAGAGCTAAGTAATAATGCTATGCACTCTGCATAGACTTAGTAACTAGCAATAAAGAGTTATCTGATTCATCAATATAGTTGTTCTTTGCCCTGGAACTACGCCAACCCCCTTGTCTCTGAAGCAGTCGGTCTGGAATACCCATAGCTGCTGTCGTCGTTGCACCACCCGACCGTAGACTATGAAGCCCATAACGCTTTGGGTTGAGACCTTCCATCTTTAGCTCGTTCTTAAAGAGCTGGTTAGCCCTGCTGTACGACATCGGCTCCCTGCGGAGTTTGTGTCCACTCTTTGTGCGCTGAATTCTTCGCCAGAGAGTGGACTTTGGGTCATGCGTTCCTTGTGTCAGGAACTTTTCAACCACCCCCACTGGGCAGGGGGTCTCGTCTGAACGAGCGATGAGAACTTGTGATCCTTCTCGGAACTGGTCATTCTTTCTTTTGGACAGTGATATTGTGAGATGGGTTGGTTCAAATACCAAGTCCTCGGGAGTAATGTGAGACAGGTCATCCCACCATAGGAACCCGTAGAACCCCAGAGCGATGAATGCAGCTAATAGAAGGTCACCAAGTGGCCCACCTTCCAAGCGCTGGATAATATTCCTCACATGGGAAGCTGATAGGGGTGTCTTTCTGCACTTTGGTTTGGCTAGGATTCTCCTGGCTGCCTCGACAACCTGTTTGACGACCGTGTGTTCGCTTGGTTTAGCATGACCATTCTTCAGGTGCACCCAGTCGATTCCGTATAATGCCGAGTTAATGCATGAGACTGAGCGTTCTTGTTGTATTAAGGAAACGATGTACAGGGCTAGCGTAACGTTACTATGCGGCTGCACACTCCCACAAACTAAATAAACAACAAGTATTTTGATTAAACAAAGTGCTTCCAAAATTCTATTTACAAGTGCTAAACTGTTCAATGTCCAATCAATTTCAGGGAAAGTCTACTCTCAGTCCCCATATCTGGTATTGGGGAACACCGTCTGCAAATGTACTGCTAGATGCTGAGCCTGCAACAAATACTCCATCGAAAGTGGGAATTCTTAGGCTGCCTTTCACAAACGCTTTCCAGCTACCACTCTTGTCGACGAGCAAAGGCCACCAAGGTGCTGAAGGGCAATATGGCATTAGTAAAGTTCCAACTTCTTTCCCAATGTGCATGTGGCGAAGGACACGTGGAATAAGGTAAGGTGGTGGGAAGATCCAGTTATTCTCGTTGGTCCATGATACCGTAAAAGCATCGGTTGACTCACAACCCGGATTCAAGTATCGGCTGGAAAAACGTGGTAGCTGCTTAGTCTTGTTACTGGCAAAACGATCCACTGTGTGAGGCCCCCAGAGCTTGTCAACAACCCAAAAACAGGAGGGATCCAGCATATAGTCATCCGGATCGTCCAATCGGGACAATCCGTCAGCAGTGTCATTCCAATCTCGACTCCCCCACTCTACCGTCAGCCGTATGTTATGCTGCCTACATATCTGGTAGATCAACACAGCCTCCATATGCAGGTCTTGATTCCGACTCCCGACAGTCATGATCCTCTCAGCTCCTTGGTTATCAGTTCTGTGCCTCACTTCCTTGCCGGCGAGTTGTGATGCTAATGAAGCCAGGACCAGCCGAGCTGCTCTAAGTTCACGAAATGTTGAGCTCCTTACACTTTCCTCCTTGGACCAACTTCCTACTGCCTTCTGGTCTCCAAGTTCCACAGCATATCCGCCCCAAGCGACGTCACTTGCGTCAGAATAAGTCAGTACTTCGACCTTCGGAGATGCTGACCAGATAGGCTGACCACCGTTTTCAAAATTGCTGTGCCAAAACATAACCTCATTTCTAGCATCTTCCTCTAGTTGGAATTTCTTATCCCAAGATGAGGATTCTTGAACCGCTCTGTACAACTCTCTGGTCCACAGGCGCACAACAGGGCCAAGAGCAAGTCCCATAGAAGAGAGAGAACCAGTAAGCCTAGCTATATGACGAGCAGATACGACAAATTGACAATCCAGAACATGTTGGAGCATATCCTTAAATGCTGCTACCCTTCCATCAGGAACGATAAACTTCCCTGAAACCAGATCAATAATAAATCCCAGAAGTTCTCCGTACTGAACAGGTTCCCACAAACTTTTCTCCTCGTTTTCCACGAAACCACTGGCCTTGATGTCCTGTCTAACTTTTTCTGAAGTTTCTCGAGCATCCTTTAGGTTACTCTCAGCCCCCGCGCCGTCGTCCGAGTATGTAAAGATACGAATTCCCTGCTCCCTCCAGTGCTTCACAAGGGTTTTCTGAATCTTTGTGAATACATATGGGGCAGAAGCTAACCCAAAGGGGAGAACAGTAAACTTGAAAAACATTTTATGTCCGTTGAACACCCATGCGCACCCAAGAAATTTTGTGTGGTCTGGCGAAATTTCAACATGATGATAGCCACTTGAGTAATCAAACTTAAAAAACCAGTCGCCTTGTTGGAAAAGGTCGCTGGCAGTTCTAATATCCTTGTATTTGAACTTCAGAACCCTGAGATGCTCGTTAATGTACCGTAAGTCTAAAATAAGTCTAAGCTTTCCCGAAGCATTCTTTGCTACGCTTAGAGGACTACAAACGCTTAGGTCAGATTCCTGCACTTTGATTAAAACTCCCGTGGAAATAAGTTTTTTGATCTCGGCAGAAACAAACTCTGATTGGCCAATAGCGCTGGCATGATTGTTGAACAGTTTTGGCTGTGGTAGTGCGACAAAAGGTAAATAATAACCGGTGCTAAAATAATATCTAGAATCCATTTACTGGCCCCAATATCCTGCCAAAATTTCAGGTGCTTACGCAGTCTACCCTTTACATAAACAGAACTATTGTTAACTTTAGAACAGTCAAAAGTTACTTCGGGTTCATCACCACAAGCTTCCTCAGATATTGGTTTGGTTAGCTTGGGCTGTGCTCGCGATGACGAAGCGTGAGTTTGCTGAACGACATTCTCGTGCGAGGTGACCTGGCTTGAGGCAACGAAAACACGTCATAGCACTCATGCGGTTGTCGCGTGAAGACTGGCTGTTATACTTTGGCACTCTCGTATTTTGCCCCGAGTATGATGCCTTCATGTCGCCGCCAAAATTGCGCCTTTCCGGAGCGCGTATTTGCTTTTTGGCTTTGAAACGTACCGCTTCGGCCGCTTTCTCGTTTTTCAACTGCTTGCCCTCCTTTATGGCTCTTTTAAAACGTTTTTCATCCTCCGAATCACTAGCGAGGGGCTCGGCCGTATAACAATGCACCGTGTCCCAACCGTATTTTTCCGCCAGCAAAATATGTTTGTTACGTTCCACAAGAATTTGCTTACCTTGGGATAGTTCTGCGGATATCTCCCCCAAATCACGACTGGCGAGTGCTCGATCTACGTGCTCAAGGACGTTCTTATTCAGTTTGTACTGTTTCTTGTTGCCTTGATACCGAAATTCCGGTTCGGCGACCTTTGGAACGGCTGTGGAATTCAATACCTTCGACTTTGTCGTGGCAACCTCCGCTTGCAAACGCAACATATCCTGCGCAGTTTTTTACTGGTTCTCGAGAATCTCTTTAGCCCACGCCGGTGGATCTTCGGATCTACTTCGAGGCCTTTCTACGCTGTCCTTCGAGCGAGAACTACGCCGCCTTCGGCTTCGACTACCGTCGCGTTCCTCGTTTCTGCTCTCGCTACGACGAGAACTAATAAGGCTATGGCTATGTTTACTTCTTTCGTGTGACCGAGAAACTCGTTGACTCCTTGACCTGTGCCTTGACTCTCGACGCTGGGAACTTCGGTCCACGCTACCACAATTCACACGCTCGTTTCTCTCTCTACCAACCGAGTTTGAACAACTTCTGCCGCCGTCAGAATGGCCTTCGTCTTCGTTAGCAAGCCTATCATCTTGTAAACTTGGGCTTTGGTTATGAGACTCGAGTCTTTTCAAAAGACGAGAGGATCTCAAGGTTGATTGCTTAGGCTTTCCCATGATAGCAAAATGAAAATACCGTGGAAAGATGGCGAAAAATCGCAAAGAAATTTGAATAAATTTGAATAAAACGCAGAGCGAAAAAATTTTTGTCAAGCGTTGCGGAAGCAACAACAACATGTGCTGTCTTAACCCGCACCACCCGCATCCACCCGATTCACAATTGGGCTCCCAGCCTTGTGTGAGAAAACATTTTCTGCTTCTTTCGTACCTCAGCCTGCAGAAAATAACACTTTATAACAGCACGGGTGTAGATGTGACCAGTTCAGAGCGGTGTGTGGAAATTTGAAACGCGAACATGGCAGCGTTGAACAGACGCAAGTTTGTGTAATCCAAACGGAGGTGTGAATATCCAATATGCATGTATCCGTGTGATTAGCATTTCTTGCAGCTATAAATTTTTACATGTCAGGAAACGGTGCTGAACAGTGAAAAAAAATTTTGTACAAGACATATTTTGTTTATTATTTATGAATGTTTTTTGATCAAGCTTGAAGGCCAAGATTAAAGAATTGCAGCAAAAAGCCTTTTTAAATTTTACCAATTTCAGCGGTGACAATAGCCATATGCATACTCTTTAAACTTTGTTGAAACACCGAAAATATTGGAAGACTTAATTAAGACAAGGATATCATCAACATAACGTTTGTAAAATTTTATAGTTCTATCAGCAATTAATTCAGAAACTATTAATCTCCAGTGGCGTAGCCAGGCTGACGATTCATTATTCATTTCTTTAGAAATTTATTGTTTTCACAGTCGATGAATGCCAAAATATTAGCATAGCATGACTAAATTGTCGGGCTGGCTATGCCACTTCACTCACCCACCCACTCACTCACTCACTCACTCACTCATACCCCTGTGGCTTTTTTACCTTGTGCTTCACTCACAGACAGGTACGTTTTCACAGAGGGTTTTTTGGTCACTTTTTGGTCTTTTTTTTAAGGCAATCTTTTCCATTTTTTAGACCTTTACTAGGTACCTCCATTGTTTTGGCGAATTATGTCTAGCCAACATATTCGTAAAAGTTCTTGAGATTTGTCGCATCATTTGTCGCATGCAAAACAACACAAGTCTTCATGCTCTAGCGACGAGCATCAGGAGATTTTCAGTGCTATTTTGGCCAATCTAAAGGATTTAAAATCCGACATAAGCTTGTGTAAGGCAAGAATATGCGACTTGGAAAACTACAGTTTGTTTAATGGCGAGACGCTGACACACTCTCCATTTTGGCGAGAAACAATTCGATCGCCCAGACTCAGAACAACAGGGTCAACTGGCTTCTCAGCCACCAAATTCGGCTATTCAGCCACCAAATTCAGCTATTCAGCCACCAAATTCGGCTATTCAACCACCAAATTCGGCTATTCAGCCACCAAATTTGGCTATTCAGCCACCAAATTCAGCTATGCAGCCACCCAACCTGACTAATTAGGCATTAATACCAACAGCTATCAGCGCTCAAGCTGAGACCTTCCAGCAACAACCAAAAGCGACAAGGAATATTCCAGCCAGTCTTTATGACCCTGAAGGCTCAGACACTTATTGGGCCCCTTCTAGTGAATTTACTACCTTTTTGGAAAAAAATTTCCGAAGAAGGCTATCCTACGACCAAGTATGTGACATACTTGACAAACACGGCCGTTCCTGCCGTAGATGCACTTTTGGGTCCAACTTTAGACCAGTCCATGTTGCATAATGTCGCTCCTCAAAACAAAAAACTCCTTCAGGAGCGAGACAAGGAACTGGCTAATGTCCAACAATCTATGCTTAATGCTACTGGCCCATGGTGTTCACTGCACAACCAACTCAAACAGGGCGGTAATCTAGCTTCTTCAGAGCTAAAAATATTTTTGGGCTCCGCTAATACACAACTGTTGACTTTATGTCGCAAAAAAATACTTGCCTCTATTAACCAATTTGAAAATCTACCTAGCAAATCGCCCCTTACCCAATGCCAGGAAATCGCTTTTTGGCAAGGATTTCCGGTCTATCGCCTCTAAAGAGGCAGAATTATCCTGCAGCCTCGCTAAAAATTTGGCACCATCAAAGGCAGCTGACAAAAGTAAGCCTAACTACCCAGGGCCGTGTGACTCCGTGTGTACTCAAACCTTCCGTCCAATAATGCTTCCTTAAAAAATTCAAGGCAATGCTCAGACCAACGAAAGGTGGTCTGCCACAGAAAGACTCTTCCATATAAATTTTCTCAAATTGAAGGGTGCGATGGTGGAAATTCAGTCTCTCTTCAGGAAACAACGTTCGAAGATAATATCCCTGAACATGGACAACTCAACCGCAGTTGCGTATGTGAATCACACAAATGTGGAACCGACTCTCCGGAACTTCTTAAAGTAACGCTAGAACTTTGGGATTGGTGCATCCAACGCGATCTCTATGTAATAGCATATCATATACCGGGGAAAACCAATGTGATTGCAGATTGGGAATCAGAGATTTTTGGGACAACAGCAATTGGATGATAGACCCAGTAATTATTTTCCCTTTCCTGAAGGGCTGTTCCACAGACCTGTTCGCCTCACTCGTCAACGCCCAATTACATCAGTTGGAGGCCAGATCCCGAGGCACGTCACTCGGACGCATTCAGTGTGGATTGGAAACACCTAGAAGAATATGCTTTCCCCAGCAAAGTAAGTAGTGTCGGACAAGGTGGAAGTGGTTCTTATGGCTCCAATATGGCAGGCTCAGCCTTGGTGGCCCCTTTTACTTGGTCGGCTAGTGCAGCATCCCATTCTCCTTCCATCATCAACGAAACTTCTGATAAATCCGACAAACCCTCGTCAGATCCACCCAATGAACTCCCGGCTCCATCTGGGCGTGTTTCATATCTCCGGCAACCATATCAGGCAGAAGGCCTTTCGGAAAATGTTGCCCAATTACTTATCTCAGCAATTCGACATTCCACTTAAAAAACATAGGACTCCAGCTGGAAACGCTGGTGCAGCTGGTGTCTTTCAAGGAAAGTTGATTCTTTTTCAGCATCCCTGAGGAATGCCCTCTCCTTTCTAGCCGATTGCTTTGACAAGGGTCTCCAATACCAATCAATTAATGTATTACATTTTGCGTTATCTTCTACGCACCCCAAGATTGATAGGTTTGCACTCAGACAACACCCTTATGTTCTTAACTTAATGAGGGGTATCCTCAACATTCGACCCCCTCTCTACCTCAATACTCCTATACATGAAACGTGCATCCAGGTAACAAAGCACATCAAACAGATAGGTAACAACTCTGATTTATCGTTAAAGCAACTCTCTCTTAAACTAGCAACACTACTGGCTATCACATGCCCTAAACGTGTCTCCTCACTCTCAAAACTCAATTTGACTCATCACCGGCTTTCTCCAGAGGACACTATTTTCACGTTAACAACTCCAACTAAAACATCTTGTCCAGATCAGATGGTTACAGCTTTTCCACAAGATGTGACATTGTGTCCAGTAGACTGCCTCAAGTCGTATATTACGCTCACAGAACGCGTTAGGAGGAAGACCACAGCGAAACCTTAAAACCTGTTTATCTCATATGTTAAGCCTCATGGTGTAGTAACCACAGCCACCGTGGCTCTTGGATACGTTTGTTTCTAAAAGAAGCTGGGATTGATTCATTTACCCTCAAATCACACTCAGCCAGGATACCCCTTTTTGGAAAAACAAACGGGTGTGAACTTAGAACACTATCATAAATTAACAGCCCGAAGGTTTTCGGAAAAGCAGCAAGCAGCATCGGTGAAAAATTCAACGATGAATTTCATGTTGAAGATGGGACCTCTGACGTGAGTATCTTCGCCCCACGCATAATGACTTCGGGAAGGATACCGTGCTCGTGCAGGTACTTTTGAATAAAGTATCTGTCATAACCCTGGAAATTATGCACCATCACGATACAGTTTGCGTGTTTGTTCCTGAAGAGCCACTTGTAAAACTCGTCTCTCGTCTTATCTCCTTGAAATACCCATTCGTAAAATACCCATTCGTACTCATGCTTCGTTGTGTATGATACACAAATTGGGTTAATGTGTTTCGTTTTCTTGTCGGCATTCGAAACGGAAAAAGAGGAGCTCTCAGTTAAATCATTATCGTTATCATCATCATTGGCATCAGTATCGAGCAAACCCAGTCGTCACCATCATCTTCACTCGATTTCTTCACAGGTTGCATGTAGAATTGATGATCTTCTGGGGGCATGTACAATTGACACATCGAACACCGCATTTTGCCGCAGTGATGGTTCTCTAACTTATCCTGTGTTACAACAAGCCCACAATGAAGACATTTCACCAGACTCACAAATCGAAATTTTGTGAATCATAAATTTTGCATCCCCTACTTTTCATTTATGCTTATCGAAACATTCCTGACTTTTAAAAAAACACATAACGGCTCGCACAAGTAAGCCATGACACAACAGGGCATGTCTGAGTGTAACATAATTTACATGCCCCAGGACAACAATGATGGAAATTCTTATCGTAGCTTTTTTTACACGTATGACAATACTTTTTGTGAACAAAAAAAGTTGTT